TATATACATACACATACGTACATACATATATATATATATATATATATATATATATATATATATATATATATATATATATATATATATATATATATATATATATATATATATATATATGTATATATATATATGTATATGCATATATTTGTAAATGTATATATATATATATATATATATATATATATATATATATATATATATATATATATATATATATATATATATATATATATATATATATATGTGTGTGTATATATAAATCAATTCATATATATATATATATATATATATATATATATATATATATATATATATATATATATATATATATATATATATATATATATATATGTATATACACATATATATATATATATATATATATATATATATATATATATATATATATATATATATATATATATATATATATGTATATACATATATATATATATATATATATATATATATATATATATATATATATATATATATATATGTATATATATATGTTTGTATATAGATAAATAGATAGATAGATAGATAGATGGATAGATAGATAGACAGACAGACAGATAGATAGATAGATAGATAGATAGATATAAATACATACGTGTATGTATTTGTATGATAAATGAATAAATATGTATATAGGTAGATAGATAGGTAGGTAGATAGACCGATCGATAGATAGACAGATAGATATGTGCGTGGGCGGTATATTTCGGACGCGTGTGAAAGAGCGAAATGCCTCTCCCTTTGTACACACTCAAGGCCTTCAACCAATAGAAGAGGAGGAAACTTTTTCACATTCCTCGTCGACAGAAGGAAAATAAAAGAATACCCACAATAGTTGTCAACTGAATCACACACAAAAAAAGTGAGAGAAAATTCGTCATTGACTTCCTCACTCTTGAGATAATAATAATGAAAAAAGAAAAACAAAAATTATATATATTTTTTTTATTCATCCCCCTCCCCCCTTCCCCCCTCCCTCCCTCCTCCTAGATCCATTAGGAAGGTAAATACTAGATAGAGATAATAAGAAAGGAATTATACTTTGTGAAGAGTGAAGAATTTTCCCATTAACCTTAAGAATAAAAGGTTGAGGGGGGGGGGGGGGGAGTAGCTCAGCCAGGCATCAAGACTAGTGTAAGTGTAGAGTTTTTGTATTGATTGTAGCCTACTGCTCAAAGTCTTCACAAAAAAAAGGCCTTTCGTCTGGCAGAGGCCTAAAATGGAGGGGGTTGGGGGGGAGGGGGGGGGGAGGGGAGGGGAGGGAAGGGAAGGGAAGGGGGGGGGAGGAGAGGGGGAGGGTCGAAGGAGGGGAGGGAAAGGGAGAGGTGGAGAGGGGAGGGAAGAAGGAGATGGAAGGGGTGGAAGGAGGGGAGGAGGGGGGGGAGGGAGGGGTTGAGAGAGGAAGGAAGAGAGAGGTGGAGGGGGGGGGGGGCAGAGGAGTAGGGGGAGATAAAGGGGAAGGAAGAGGAATCAGGGAGAAGGAGGGGGAAAGTAGGTTCGGGAGGGAAGGGAAGAGGGGAGATGGAGGGAATGGAAGAGGGGGGGAGGGAAGAGAAGGGTTGGAGATGTGAGGGGAGGGGGGGAGGGGTAGAAGGGTTGAAGGTAGGCTGAGGAGAAGGTAGGTTGGGGTTGGGGGGGGGGGGGGAGAAGGGGTAAGGAGCGTAAGGAAAGGGGGGAGGGGGAGAGAAGTGGACCGGAAGGAGAGGGTTGCAGGGGGGGGGAGGGTAGAGAGAGGAAGGAAGGACGGAAGAAGGGGGGGGGTGAGAAGATCAGGAAGGGGCGGGGTGGGGGGGAGGGGGATTATGAGTTCGATGTGGCTGAGGGAGGGTAAGGGGGGAGGGGGAGTGGAAGGGGTATAGAGACAGTGGGAATTTTGTTTCTCTTCCTCTTACGATATCAGTGGCGTCAAAGACCTCGCCTCTCTTCTGACAAGCGGAAAATAGATATTGCTTTCGCGGTAATTACAGAGAGAGAAGCTCACAGTTCGAATTACAGTGTGGTTGGGTGTGGAGGATATGAGAAAGGGAAAGGGTTAAGAATCACAAACTCCGCCTCGCTCTCTCTCTCTCTCGCTCTCGCTCTCTCTCTCTCTCTCTCTCTCTCTCTCTCTCTCTCTCTCTCTCTCTCTCTCTCTCTCTCTCTCTCTCTCTCTCTCTCTCTCTCTCTCCTCTCTCTCTCTCTCTCTCTCTCTCTCTCTCTCTCTCTCTCTCTCTCTCTCTCTCTCTCTCTCTCCCTCTCTCGCTCGCTCGCTCTCTCTCTCTCTCTCTCTCTCTCTCTCTCTCTCTCTCTCTCTCTCTCTCCCTCTCTCGCTCGCTCGCTCTCTCTCTCTCTCTCTCTCTCTCTCTCTCTCTCTCTCTCTCTCTCTCTCTCTCTCTCTCTTTCTCTCTTTCTCTCTCTCTCTCTCTCGCTCTCTCTCTCTCTCTCTCTCTCATTCTCTCTCTCTCTCTCTCTCTCTCTATCTATCTATCTATCTCTCGCTCTCTCTCTCTCGCTCTCTCTCTCTCTCTCTCTCTCATTCTCTCTCTCTCGCTCTTTCTATCTATCTATCTATCTATCTCTCGCTCCCGCTCTCTCTCTCTCCTTTCCTCTCTTAACCCTTTTTCTGTCTCTATCTCCCTTATTTTCCATTTACCTTTCCGTCTTTTAAATCTCTCTGCGCCCTCTTTGACCCAATGACTCACCGCCCTCGCCTGCAGGAGCCTCGGCGCGCCTCTCGAAGGGCAGGACTCCAGGACCTCCGCGGCGAGTCCCGGCGGAGTCCCCGACCAGCGAGCGGCGGCCAAATCAAGTGTTTCTGATCCGACGATTCGTTTATCCGAAGCCACAGTAGTTTTTTGACATTCTAGATAACTGTCGATAAGCGTGCCGTGACAGGAATAAGCCGGTTTAAGCGTTTGGTCTGAACGGCGACTCAACCGGACGTCTCCCGCGGCAGGGGAAAGCCGCCCTTGTGGCCCTCCGCCGTAGGGACGAGAGTCGTCGGGGGACCTGGCCGTCGAAGCGCTCCTTGTAACCCCACGGGTCCGGTTATTTATGTACAGAAGTGGAATAATGAGGAGTGACAAACTGAGGAATGACTCGGGGATTTCTATCGAGGAGCTTGAATATTTTACGCATAATTTTGAAATTTCTCGGCGTCTGCCCCGGCCGGCGGCAAGCCCCAGGTAGGCCAGGTATTCTTTTGTGTGTCCGATGGGCGAGATACAGAAGCAGGAACTAATGCGACGGCGCCCGCGCTACGCCCATCTGCGCCGGCCAAGGGTGGGCGCTGACCCTGGCGGCCGCCCTCGTATCTGCTCCCTGCTGCCTCCGTCGTCGCAGCAGATCTGAGTTCCAGCTCATTCCCGGCGCCCTTCGCTGACACCTGTTCAGCCGCCGCGCCGTCTATCGCCGCCCCCATCTGTCCCAAGGGCCTGGCGTCACCCGTTCTCTCCTGCCCTTGCTGCGCCCTGGCCTCGTGGCTCCCTGTTGCCACCTCGAATGCCCCCGTCTATGCTGCCAGTCTGCCATCCGCTGCCCCTCGCCACTGCCTGCCGATACCAGGATCCTTAAATCGCCGTACTCTACCTCTGCTGCCCAGAGTTCTGGTTCTCCCTGTCATGCGCTGTTATCCCCGTCCTTCTGCCATGCTGTCACTCGTCCCTGCCTACCATCATTTCCAAACACCTCCCCCCCCACCTCCTTAGCTCATCCACTCACCCTCCTCAGTCGTCATCCGTCACAGAACACCCTCACCCATCGCGGTCTTCGCTTGTGTTCTCTCGCTTGTGTTCTCTCGCTGTGTTCTCTTGCTTGTGTTCTCGTGCTTGTGTTCTCTTGTTTGTGTTCTCTCGCTTGTGTTCTCTCGCTGTGTTCTCTTGCTTGTGTTCTATTGCTTGTGTTCTCTTGCATGTGTTCTCTTGCTTGTGTTCTCGTTGCTTGTGTTCTCTCGCTTGTGTTCTCTCGCTTGTGTTCTCTCGCTTGTGTTCTCTCGCTGTGTTCTCTTGCTTGTGTCTCTTGCTTGTGTTCTCGTGCTTGTGTTCTCTTGCTTGTGTTCTCTCGCTTGTGTTCTCTTGCATGTGTTCTCTTGCTTGTGTCTCTTGCTTGTGTTCTCTTGCTTGTGTTCGCTTGCTTGTGTTCTCGTTGCTTGTGTTCTCTCGCTGTGTTCTCTTGCTTGTGTTCGCTTGCTTGTGTTCTCGTGCTTGTGTTCTCTTGCTTGTGTCTCTTGCTTGTGTTCGCTTGCTTGTGTTCTCTCGCTTGTGTTCTCTCGCTTGTGTTCTCTCGCTGTGTTCTCTTGCTTGTGTTCGCTTGCTTGTGTTCTCTCGCTTGTGTTCTCTCGCTGTGTTCTCTTGCTTGTGTTCGCTTGCTTGTGTTCTCTGCTTGTGTTCTCTGCTTGTGTTCTCTTGCATGTGTTCTCTTGCTTGTGTTCGCTTGCTTGTGTTCTCTCGCTTGTGTTCTCTCGCTGTGTTCTCTTGCTTGTGTTCTCTCGCTTGTGTTCTCTTGCTTGTGTTCCTCTTGCTTGTGTTCCTCTTGCTTGTGTTCTCGTGCTTGTGTTCTCTTGCTGTGTTCTCTTGCTTGTGTTCTCTCGCTTGTGTTCTCTCGCTTGTGTTCTCTGCTTGTGTTCTCTTGCATGTGTTCTCTTGCTTGTGTTCTCTCGCTTGTGTTCTCTCGCTGTGTTCTCTTGCTTTGTTCTCCTTGCTTGTGTTCTCCTTGCTTGTGTTCTCTCGCTTGTGTTCTCTGCTTGTGTTCTCTTGCATGTGTTCTCTTGCTTGTGTTCTCCTTGCTTGTGTTCTCTCGCTTGTGTTCTCTCGCTTGTGTTCTCTCGCTTGTGTTCTCTCGCTGTGTTCTCTTGCTTGTGTTCCTCTTGCTTGTGTTCTCCTTGCTTGTGTTCCTCTTGCTTGTGTTCTCCTTGCTTGTGTTCTCTCGCTTGTGTTCTCTCGCTTGTGTTCTCTCGCTTGTGTTCTCTCGCTTGTGTTCTCTCGCTGTGTTCTCTTGCTTGTGTTCTATTGCTTGTGTTCTCTCGCTTGTGTTCTCTTGCTGTGTTCTCTTGCTTTGTTCTCCTTGCTTGTGTTCTCCTTGCTTGTGTTCTCTTGCTTGGTTCTCTTGTTTACGTTCTTCTGTTTACGTTCTCTTGTTTGCGTTCTCCTTGTTTGTGTTCTCTCGCTGTGTTCTCTTGCTTGTTTTCTCTTGCTTGTGTTCCTCTTGCTTGTGTTCCTCTTGCTTGTGTTCCTCTTGCTTGTGTTCCTCTTGCTTGTGTTCTCCTTGCTTGTGTTCTCCTTGCTTGTGTTCTCCTTGCTTGTGTTCTCCTTGCTTGTGTTCTCTCGCTTGTGTTCTTTTGTTTACGTTCTTCTGTTTACATTCTCTTTTTTATGTTCTCTTTTTTATGTTCTCTTTTTTACATTCTCTTTTTTATGTTCTCTTTTTATGTTCTCTTTTTATGTTCTCTTTTTTATGTTCTCTTTTTATGTTCTCTTTTTTATGTTCTCTTTTTTATGTTCTCTTTTTATGTTCTCTTTTTATGTTCTCTTTTTATGTTCTCTTTTTATGTTCTCTTTTTATGTTCTCTTTTTTATGTTCTCTTTTTATGTTCTCTTTTTATGTTCTCTTTTTTATGTTCTCTTTTTTATGTTCTCTTTTTATGTTCTCTTTTTATGTTCTCTTTTTATGTTCTCTTTTTATGTTCTCTTTTTATGTTCTCTTTTTTATGTTCTCTTTTTTATGTTCTCTTTTTTATGTTCTCTTTTTATGTTCTCTTTTTTATGTTCTCTTTTTATGTTCTCTTTTTTATGTTCTCTTTTTTATGTTCTCTTTTTTACATTCTCTTTTTTATGTTCTCTTTTTTATGTTCTCTTTTTTATGTTCTCTTTTTTATGTTCTCTTTTTTATGTTCCTATAACTACCTGCGTCCACTCCTCCCCTCGCACTGTCTGTCTTCTCTGCCACTCCCCTTGCTTCCCTTTGCGTGTGATTTCATAATCTTGTTTACGTTCTCTTGCTTGTGTTCTCTTGCATGTGTTCTCTTGCTTGTGTTCTCTTGCTTGTGTTCTCTTGCTTGTGTTCTCTCGCTTGTGTTCTCTTGCTTGTGTTCTCTTGCTTGTGTTCTCTTGTTTGTGTTCTCTTGCATGTGTTCTCTTGCTTGTGTTCTCTTGCTTGTGTTCTCTTGCTTGTGTTCTCTTGCTTGTGTTCTCTTGCTTGTGTTCTCTTGCTTGTGTTCTCTTGTTTGTGTTCTCTCGCTTGTGTTCTCTTGCTTGTGTTCTCTTGCTTGTGTTCTCTTGCTTGTGTTCTCTTGTTTGTGTTCTCTTGCTTGTGTTCTCTTGTTTGTGTTCTCTTGCTTGTGTTCTCTCGCTTGTGTTCTCTTGCTTGTGTTCTCTTGCTTGTGTTCTCTTGTTTGTGTTCTCTTGCTTGTGTTCTCTCGCTTGTGTTCTCTTGCTTGTGTTCTCTTGCTTGTGTTCTCTTGTTTGTGTTCTCTTGCTTGTGTTCTCTTGCTTGTGTTCTCTTGCTTGTGTTCTCTTGTTTGTGTTCTCTTGCTTGTGTTCTCTTGCTTGTGTTCTCTTGCTTGTGTTCTCTTGCTTGTGTTCTCTTGCTTGTGTTCTCTTGCATGTGTTCTCTTGTTTGTGTTCTCTTGCTTGTGTTCTCTTGCTTGTGTTCTCTTGCTTGTGTTCTCTTGCTTGTGTTCTCTTGCTTGTGTTCTCTTGCTTGTGTTCTCTTGTTTGTGTTCTCTTGCTTGTGTTCTCTTACTTGTGTTCTCTTGTTTGTGTTCTCTTGCTTGTGTTCTCTTGCTTGTGTTCTCTTGCTTGTGTTCTCTTGCTTGTGTTCTCTTGCTTGTGTTCTCTTGCTTGTGTTCTCTTGCTTGTGTTCTCTTGCTTGTGTTCTCTTGCTTGTGTTCTCTTGCTTGTGTTCTCTTGTTTACGTTCTCTTGCTACGTTCTCTTGTCTCCTCTGTCGTTTTTTGCCTTTGCTTGAGTGGTTTCATAACAGAAATGCTTCTGTTGCCTGGACTAATTGCAAGCGTCATGACTAGCACTCAGACACAGACAATATAGTAAAGCGAAGATCATAGTCATTCTATATCGAAAGGGTGTCATGCGAAATCATATGATCATTCACTTCAAAATGGAAAATAATTGAAAGATTTAACTAAAATCGTAAATTAGTGATCTTAGTGCACCTAATTAAATGCCTCGAACATTCAAGTACACATGCCAAGACGCGAGTGCTTTTTGTGTACGTTATCGAGAAGATTTTTTAAAAATATTAATACTTTCAAAATTCTCCAGTATTTCGCATCCTTAAGCTACTTACGCAATACCCTGATAACCGTAATATTATGACGATAACACCACTATTATACAGTGTCATTTTCACAGCACGAAATCCTTAACACACAACACCTCTCACGTAACGTACTTCCTAACCAATTAGAGAATTCTTCGACGCCGTAAGCACACAGCAACGTCATTCACACCCCAACGTCATCACCACTACGTCACCACCAGCGTCATCTCCAACGTCACAGCTTGAAACATCACGTCTTTAAAAAAAAAAAAAAAAAAAAAAAACGAGAGAAGGTGCCCCAAGTTACAAAACGCCCGCCTGTACGAAAGCTAAAAAGTCCCGTGGCCTTTTTTTTCTCCCTCTTCGGCGCAGTGAAGGAAACCTTACAAGCGCTCGTTATATTACGCGACAAAGAACCTCGACAGGTCCTCCTCGACAGCGGGGTCCGGGCTCTCTCCGACTCCGTTGTTTTAAACCTCTGAAATTGGATTAGTTTTTCGTTAATATGAAGCGTAATTCTTGGTCGAGGAAGCCCGTCATTTCAGGCTATCCTTCAACCCGTCGGCGGGGGCGGAGTTTCCTCGTTTTAACACAGGGTTTTATGCCTCTCCTCTCTCTTCGCTTCGCTCTGCTGTTTGATTTCTCTCCTCTCTTCTCTTTGCTTCTCTATTTCATTTATTTTCTCTCTTCTCTTTATTTCTCTTCTCTCTTCTCTCCTTTATACCTCTTCTGTCCCTAATTACCTCTGTCTCTTTCTTTCACTTTCTTTCATTCTCGATCTCTCAGTCTCTCTCTCACCTCCTCTGTCGCTCTCTCTCTCTCTCTCTCTCTCTCTCTCTCTCTCTCTCTCTCTCTCTCTCTCTCTCTCTCTCTCTCTCTCTCTCTCTCTCTCTCTCTCTCTCTCTCTCTCTCTCTCTCTTTCTCTCTCTTTTCTCTCTCTCTCTCACACACTCTCTCTCTCTTCTCTCTCTCTCTCTCTCTCTCTCTCTCTCTCTCTCTCTCTCTCTCTCTCTCTCTCTCTCTCTTCTCTCTCTCTCTCTCTTTCTCTCTCTCTGTCTCTCTTTCTCTCTTTCTCATTCTCTCTCTCTCCCTTTCTCTCTAGCCATCTATCTATCTATTTATCTTTCTATCTATCTATCTATCTATCTATCTATCTATCTATTTATCTATTTATCTCTATATCTCTTTGCAGTATTGCACATTGACTCAAATGTTCACGGAATTATCAAACAAATACCGTGTTAGTCACTCACCTGCTTTCTATTGCTAATCATTTCCTGCTAATCTACATGCTACAGGTATATTGCATGACCTAAATGATAATCACAATGGAAATGAATTGAGTAAAGATAGGATTGCCTTTTAAAATTATCTAATTGAATAAATGCAACTGAAATGAAATGCTGCGTGGAAGTAAAGTCCTTATTGTCACTTGTAGGCAACATAATGCTATGTGATTAAGTAAGTATGCAGGCGAGATCCAGGTGCTGTGGTCTGCATTATGCACGCGTGGATAGTAAAGTGTTGCAATACATTCTGATGCAATATGTGCTATTGCAACACTTCACCTAGCCCCTCAGTATTGCAATATGCATGCTTGAAACCAGATCCAAATAAGAACCGGCTTGTATTTATAAGGCCACACGATCGTCTAATCATGAAATGACCGTAAGATATTTGTACTGAATAAAAGATACATGTTTGATCTATTGTTT